GGGTGCTGGGGCGGGCCAGCCCACGTGGGGGTGGCTGGGGGACGGGCCAGGTGGCAGGAGGCCACCCTGACACTGCCGAGGAGGGGACGCCAGCGCTGTGGCTAGGCGGGCGGGGGTGGGGAGGACGGGAAGGGGAGCAAGAACCGCTGGGCATCTAGGGAGGCTGGGGCCTCACCCGCTTGCCTGCTCCTGGAGTGGACAGGGGCCAGGGACAATGCCAGCACACCCTTGTGGGCAGGGGCTGCCCGTGGGTGGAGCCTGTGGAGGCAGGTGCCAGGGCTTGAGGAAGTGGAGCCGCAGCTGGGCAGCACTGAGGGATGGTGGGGGGCTCTGCGCCCCCCACACCAGGTGCTGGCACAGGACCAGTGGCCAGAGCTTGGAGGTGAAGCACAGAGAGGGCTGCAGCAGGCTGCACGGAAGGAGGAAGAGGGGCACCCTGGTGTCACCTAGCGGTCCTTGCAGGGTGCTGACACTGAGGGCCAAGCGAGAGACAGGATGAGGAAGTCAGGACGGACGTGTCGTGATGGCCAAGAGGCACCGAGGATGCGCTCCGGCCAGCGGGACTCTTTGGGGACCGAGGGAGGAGGGCCTCTCTCTGACTCGTGCTTCCCCAGTGCTCAAGGGAGGGTCCACCTGGAAAGGGGGTCTGGAAGAGAGAGGGAGCCTCCCCTCCCCAGCAGAGTGGGGTCTCCACGGGGAGACAGGGTGAGGTGACGGACCAGTGCCCACCTGATCAGGCACCACGTGCCAATCTGAGCTCCGGGCCCACCTGACCCCTCCCCTGGGTCTGGGCGCAGAGGACTCTCCTGGCCCCCGTGCCCGACAGGCCCCAGCAGTGCCCAGGTGGTGCCCAGACGATCACTGTCTGTGTGACCAGAGCAGTCAGCCAGGGAAGACAAAGCCAAGGCAGGGTCAGCGCCAGTCAGGAAGGACCCTGCCCCACGGTGGCCCCTGGTGCAGCCGGATGGCCCAGGGCAGCAGCCACAGCAGCCCCTCTGCAGCACCTCCAAGGCGAAGCCCGGAGCTACCGACCCAGAGTCATGCCTGGGCTGGCCGCGCCTTACGTGGGTGCCTGCCTGTGCCCCCCTCACCCTTCCCGAGCCCCATCTGTTGTCTCGAGCTCCTACCCCGCCCCCGGCTGAACAACCCCTTTGTCCGCCAGGACCCCACCCTGTTGAGAGCCTCGAGGTTACCAACGTGACCGCCGTGGCCATCTCAGTGCGGTGGGCTCTGCACAGGATCCACCATGCCACGGTCAGCAGTGTCCGTGTGTCCATCCGCCACCCTGAGGCGCAGGAGGACCAGTCCGCCGAGGTGGACAAGAGCGTGGACAGGTTCACGTTTGGGTAAGAGCTCGGCCGGCCTCCTTCGTCCCGGGGCGTGTGCCTCCCGTGTCTCCGGGCACCTCCCTCACACCAGGCCGTGCCACTTCCCAAGGTCTCATTCCTGACTCGCCTCCTCACGGGGCTGCTGGACAAGTGTCCGAGTCTCCCAGAAGAGCAGGGACACCCTAAAAATCTGGGGGCAGCGTCTCCTGCACAGATAGTGAGCGAGACGCTCCAGTGACCAGCCCAGAGTCCTTCCAGCCTGAGGCATGCAGACCCTCCGAGAGGGAAATGGGGGTGACCGTTGGGTTGCCTTAAATTTTTTTGTTCAGATAATCCGTTCACACCTTAAACTAGGCATATAAACTTATGCCAAATTATTATAAATTAAACACAAACAAAACTACAAAATAAATAAAGTTCAAATGAACATCAGGGACCCAGAATGGCGCCGAGCCACAGCCAGAGGGGCACTCGGCCAGGTTCCAGGCTGCGTCCCCGCTGGACCCCGTGGGTGGTTCCAGCCCCGCTCAGGGCTGGCGGGCAGAGCTGGAAGACGGAGTGCGGGGGAGAGGTGGCCCAGCCACCTGGGGCGCTGGACTCGGGCCTGCACAGGACACAGCGGCAGCCAAGGGAGCCCCCCTCTAACTGCTGTGCCCGACAACGGCGTCCAGGCGGGCTTGGCGGGAACAGCTCTGCCGTCTCCGGCCACGGTCATGGGGAGGGGGCCTTGGGGACCGCGGGTGCCTCCCGTCCCTCCTTGGAACCACCCACACTTTTGTACGTTTCTAGTTTGCAGACTTATCGAGACCATTTTTTCCCAAGTGTGTGTGTTCTTTCTCTCCACCTGGACGGCCACCCGTGTGGGGGACAAGACTCTGCTTTGTCTCTTAAGTGTCACTGTGACTTTCCCCGGTTTTACAACCTGCCCCGTTCCAAAAAACAGCGCAACAGAAACATAAACGGGGCCCCCGGGTAGGCACTCGGTGACTGTGTCGGGGTCCCCAAGACCACCCCCAGGCTCGCTGCGGGGGTTCCCAGGACTTACAGATCCCAGAAATGGCACAAAGCGCACGGAAGGAAGAGGTGCACGGGGAGAAGTGGGGGCCCAGGCGCGGCCCCCAGAGCCCCCTCCCCGTGGAGCCACACGGGCCACGCTTCGTCCCCCGCCCCCGGCTGTGACGACACGCGTGAGGACCGGGGACGCCCGTGAGGACGCGGCGCCCGGGGGTCTGGGGCGGGTCACGGCGCGCGCTGCCTGGGGAAGAGCCCAGGCCCCGGAGGAAGCGGGCTCGGCCTGACCCGCACGTTGCAGCGAGGCCCTCTTGTCCGCGAGGGGCTGGGGACCATCCTGGGAATTCCGGCCAAGGGCCACCTTGCCTCCTGTCCAGGCAGGAGAGGAGACAGGTCCCCCCGGGCTGTACACCAGCCTCTGATCACACCGCGGCCACTCCAGGCAGGCCTCTCCCTGCACTAGGAGCTTCTGAGAGAGCGGCACCCAGGCTCACACCACAGCTCACACAACTCACACCACAGCGCACACCACAACTCACACAACTCACACCACAGCGCACACAACTCACGCCACAGCTCACACAACTCACACCACAACTCACGCCACAGCTCACACAACTCACGCCACAGCGCACACCACAACTCACACAACTCACACCACAGCGCACACCACAACTCACGCCACAGCTCACACAACTCACACCACAGCTCACGCCACAGCTCTGGCCTCGTGCAGCAGGACAGCTCACACGCCGGTCACACTGCTCAGGAGCGGCCCCGGTCTGGCAGCAGAGCTGGGCATGAAGGCCCCCGAGACCAGCCACCCCTCTCCCGTAGGGCCCTGCTGCCCGGAAGGAGGTACACCATCTGGGCGACTGCCCTCAGTGGGCTCAGGGGACAGGGACACCCCACCGAGAGCCTGGCCTCAGCTCCGCTGCACGTGTGGACCCGTAAGTAAGCCGTGTGGCTGGCCCGGGCCGGTGGAACTTTCCGGGGAAGATCTTGCCCCTCGGTCCTCTCCGCGGTGGCCGGGGCACCAGAAACCAGCCCCGGGCTGAGTGTACCCCGAATGGCAGTGTGCCCAGGGGCCAGGTCCTCCTGCTGGGCTGCCGTTCACACTCGAAGGCTCGTGTCAAATGGCAGTGTGCCCAGGGGCCAGGTCCTGCTGGGCTGCCGTTCACACTCGAAGGCTCGTGGGCTGCCGCCGAGCCACAGCCAGAGGGGCACTCGGGCAGGAGGCCCCATGCGGCCCCCTCCGCTGAGCAACACGGGCTCTCGGGGGAGGGGAGCACTGCGTTGCGACAGGGACCAGTGAGCAAGGGGGATGCAAGTGGCTTGGTGAGGAAGGACGGTGTGAGCAGGGCCTGGCCGGAGGGGCGGGGGTCAGCGCATGTCCCAGTGGCCCTGAGCGCTGGGACCGGGCCCACTGCCCTCCTCTGCGTCCTGGGGGAAGGTGTGTGGCCAGGCTCTGGGTCAGGAGTGCCGCACGGGGGGATCGCGGACAACGCGGACGTGGGGCCTCTCTGGGAAGGAGGCGCAGCTGCAGATTCGCACCCAGCCCCCATTCCCTCAGGGCCACAAAGTCACCTGTAGTAACTCAGTCTGGTTTCAAACGAGGCTCCGGCTGTCCTCGTCTGGTCTTTCAACCGCGTCCTGGGCAGAAGACTCCATCAGCCCCTTCACCTCCCTCCCCTGCTCTGTGCCTCGTCCAGGGCCTCTGCCACCAGTAAACCTGACTGCCACCCGAGTCACAGCCACGTCTGCTCACGTGGTCTGGGATGCCCCCACTCCGGGCACCTCGCTGGAGGCATACATCATCAACGTGACCACCAGCCAGAGCACCAAGAGCCGCTATGTCCCCAACGGGAGGCTGGTGTCATACACAGTGCGAGACCTGGTGCCCGGGAGGCGGTACCAGCTCTCGGTGACGGCCGTGCAGAGCGCCGCGGGCGACCAGCTGCACAGCGAGCCCGCTCACCTGTACATCATCACCTGTAAGTGCAGTGTCACAGGCATGGGGACAGGCGGCTGTTGAGGCCTGACCCTGTGCGGGCCACCTGCTGTACTCTGGGACCCTCACCTGGCACAGCCACGCTGTCCAAGGGCCATCAGACAGGCAGCGAAGACACAGGTGTTTCGAGGGCGAGGGTGGGTGAGGAAGGGCTGGTGGACAGTGGGTGCTAGGTCAGCGACAGCAGCTTGGTGGCCCCAAACAGGCTGAGCAGTAAATGCAGGGCCCCAGGGAGGCGCACAGCCAAGCTGACCCATGAGGAGCCACAGGACAGAAGCAGAGAGAGACCAGGACTGCCCGAGGAAGGGGTGGCCTGGGACAGGCAGCAAGGAAAGCCAGAGTGGACTGGCGGATGAGGGGACAGACAGCCCAGGAGCACGGGGGCTCAGACAGGCCATGCTGAGGACGTGGGCCTGCTCCCATGGGGCCCAGCACGGCCCAGCTCATTCTAAAGCTCATGTGAGCACGGTGGCGTGTACGGTGGTGTGTCTGACAGGGAGGCGGCAGGGGCCGAGGGCCAGACGCAGGGGCACCCTCCCTGACCCGCCAGCGGCTCTGACAGGGCAGCTGCGGGTACCTGCCAGGGAGACAGGGCAGCCGGGGGAGGAGGGGCTCACAGGTGAAGGAGGGCAGCCAAGGGGCAGCTGGGTGATGAGGACCCACAGAGATGCCACACCACCGCTGTTAGGGCAAGTGCGGGCGGGAGCTTGGGCGGAGGCGGAGGACCTGGGCCCGGCATGGCAGCGAGGACAGCCCGCCTTGACACCCGGCAGCACCCGTTTCACACCGGACGCTGTGGCTCCTCCTGAGATGGGGCCTCCCGGCAGGTGGGAGGAGGGGCTCCAGGGGCTCCTCAGGACCTGCCTCGTGTGGGCACCCCACCTCCCGCCCGCTGCCTCCCGCAGCCCCGAGGGATGGCGCCGACAGACGCTGGCACCGGGGAGGACTGCACCCACGGGCGCTGAGAAACGGGCCGCCC